CGCATGAATTTATTCAGCGTGATGGATTTAGCGCATAACAAAGCCTGATTTTGGCATGAAACTCTCTGTATGACTTGAAATCTTGAACAAAATTCATGATTCAGTTGATAAATCAAATGGAAATTCAATTATCGACGTGTTGAAAAAAATGCATCATTTGTTGTGGCTAAGAAATGTATATTCTTAAGTGGGTTTTTTTTCACTCTGGGTTTTGTTCATTTCATCAACTAGATTCTGATTTAGTGTTTGAACAATTATCGATACTATTCCTACAGGCATATGGTATCTGTTTATAAACATGGGCTGTTTGAGCTATTTTGAGGTTTATAACACTGTAGAAGGTCATAAATAATGCATTTCTCAGTCGTTAAATATCAGGTTTGTGGAGATTTTTGTTGTTATTATCAATTTGCTTTGACGATGACGAATGCAATTTATATAATACATTTTAAAACCAACCCAAGAAATTTTTGTGTGTTTGTGTGGCTTAACGAATGTGAAAACAAATTGACTTCAATCAGTAGTCGATTGACTTTGAACAACATAAGCCAAAAATCCATTTCTAATCGTTAAATTGTTGAAATCGTGATTTTTTTTTTCATAAGAAGATTTCTGTTGATGTTTTCATTCATTCAAAAAATTTAGGACTGTTTTTTTTTTTTTTTCATTTTGTTTTAAAATTAAAATTGCATTAGTTTAATCTATTTTTTGGAATCGTATGGTTTTGCGTTGAATCCAACGTATCGATTATTTTTTCGTACTCTAAATCCACCATCAGGCGTTGCATGGTAATAAACCACACGACGAATGCCAAAGGGATCAATGTATCCGTAGCTGCCGTCGCGATTGTTTGGATTCGCTTCACCATAGGTTTCCTCATGATAGTGGCGGGGCAAAAAATAGCCGAAACCGTTGGAAATTCGTGCATTATAACGATCAAATCGTTTTTTATCATCGATCCCATTGCCAAAGTCCAATTGATTTGGTGGATAGAATCCAATGGGCCGTTTGCTGGCATCACGATAAAATGTATGGCGATTGAACAACGGTACAACGGTTGCTGTTGACGAAATCGGTGATACGGTCGTCGATCCAAATGTGGTCGGAAGTGTGACGGCAATCGGTCCATACGACGGTCCAACATCGTTCAATGAAATGGCCGACGAAGCGGGCGGTTGCAATTCATTATTGATTTGCTCAATGGTATAGGCGGCAATTGGTGTCGAATATGGTGTCGAATATGGTCGAATTCGAATGATTGGCGAATCATTGCCAGCATCACTGAATGGCGGCAAGAAGTATTTGGATGGTACCACAAGTGGATTTTGTACGGCAATTAGTGGCTGTGGCGTTGTTGTACTGGAAATATAGGCAGCTGTGCTTGTCGGAGGTAAAATTGTTGTTGTGCTTGAAAAGACTGGCTTGTATGTGGTTACTGGTGGTGCAATCGTTGTTGATGGCAATATATACTTGTTGCCATCAATTGGCTCAGCATTGTAATGAACCAAAATCGATGGTTTGTTCTTGGGGTAGCCAAAATCGGGATCGAGCGCATTCGGATTCGGTATACTTGATATACTTGGAATTGATAACACTGGCGTTGAAGAGGTCGTCGTCGTAGATTCGATGAATTTCGTATTGATTCGTCCATTTGATATTACATCCTATGTGAAAGTGAGAAAGAGAGGGACAGAGACAGAGAGAAAATTGAAATTGAAGTTTGATTAGTTTTTCTTGAATTCACGAAAAATAAATTTAAATGCCATTCATATTCTTTTCATTGAATTTTTTTTTCCATTCAAGCCTTTCACCAATTCCAATTTGTTCTTTATATTTGGAAAATACTTGCCTTAATGGGTCGATTCTTGCCAATGAAGATGGTTTTGCTTTTCAAAATTCGATAACCATCTTTGTCGGCTATGTAGTCCTTCTGGCGTAAATAGCCGGATGCATCCACCCAGGCTTCCGTTCCTAGAAACAATAAAGAATCGTTTAGTTTGTCTCCGATTTCATTTCAGCTACAACCGCATTCATTTTCTATTTTGTTTTTCATTTTTCTTTTCACTTTTGCTAGTGTAAAATCAAAGTTTTTATTTTAGATTTCCATTCTTTTTAATATTTTTCTAATTTTATTTTATTTATCAGAAAATGTCATCAAATCTGTCATTTTCAAAATTCATCAATCTAAACATAAAATGCAGATTACATCATCAATAACTCACCAATAACTGTTCCATCTTTCAGACGCTTTTCGTTGCGAAATTGTCCGCTGTCGGTTTGATATCGAAAAAATCGTTCTGGGCCTTCATCGGTTTGAATGTGATACTGGCTGCTGTCAGCCGAACCCCAATCGGCTTTGATTTTGCTGATGAAAAACTGTAACGATATAGGAAAAGAACAACAAAAATGTAAACAATAAAATCATTCAATGGGTGTTGGGTTTCTAAACTGTAGCTATAAAAGAAACAGTAGATTTGCGCCGATAGCTGGCACTTAAACGGTAGCTGATACTTAAACGGTAGCATAAAATGCAAATATAAAATACAATACAAAACAAACGAAACGAAAAGAAAAGAAGAAAAAAAAAATTACGGAATCAAGATTAGCTAAAATGCATTATTTATAGTCGAACTAATTTTGGGCTCTCTATCGGGGCAACTGAATCGCCCGTCTTTTTTTTTCTGTGTTCACAGAGAGTAAGGTGGAAATGAAAAATACAAGCATTTATTTATGCACTTATTTATTATGCGCACCTAATTGAGCATGCATGCCGAGACCACACCATTTCGATACACACCGAGCGGTTCAGTTTTAATTTATGTATGAAAAGCAGTAGCCGAGCTAATGATGCAGGCGTACAACCGAAACAAATAATAAAACACCAACAGAAATAAAAATCAAATGAAATATGAAATAAAAAGAAAAAAAAACCGTTTGAAAAATATGGAATTAATCAAAAGTATAAGCTATATTTTCCGATTTGGTGTTTTTTCGCTATATTGAAAAAAATAAAATTATATGGAATATCATTTAAAGGTCTGAGAATGCTCCGAAAAGAAATGAGAAACACACCGACCAAAGTAAATATGCGCATAGACGAGAACTCAATTACATTGATCGGACACCCGAGCAATTTGTAAACATGGCTATTAATTGTATGTTTATTGCATACAGTACCGAAGAAAACGAAAACAATACGGGATTTGATCGGGTAATTTGTTGTATTTGGTTGATTGTTTTGCATTGCACAAATTATGCGCCGCCAAATTGTGATTCAACGTTTGATCATTGCTGAATTGACGGAAGAAATGCCAATGTAATATTGATCGTTGACTGTCAAGAATGTCGAATTGAGACGCAAAAACGCGACGAGAGATAGAGAGATGACGAACAAATGCCCACGTTCGATGTTTGCACATCATACCAAAATTAACCGATGACAAACGGTAACGCAGACACCAGTGTGACAATCATCAACGATGCGAATGAACCGAATGGGAACAATGTCACTTTTGTTGTGATCAAGAGCAACAAAATCGGTGATTTTGGACACACACACAAAAAAATATTGCGTAGCATTGCATCATGGATAGTTGACAGACGCTCAGCACTGCAGAGAATATTTTTTCAGCACTTTGCAAAATATTTGCAATCAAAATTTTATAAAAATCAAAATAAATGACTTTTTTTGGGTGAATTTGAAACAACATCACGATGGAACGGGCAAACATGTGTGCCCGGTCCGCATGCGCGTCAAAGAGAATCGTTTTACTTTTAATGGCACTTGAATGTCGTAATATAGCGAACAAATTGTTCGTGTAAATGAAATGTGCTGTATGGGTGTGCTTTTGACCACATTTGTATGTGTGTGTCCAATCCATAAAAATTCTTCGTTCGTTCGTTTGCCGATGTTCGCCTTTTGTTTTTGTTTCTTTTTTTGGGTTAAGTATTACACACATTACAACAGATATATATCAAGAGAAATTGAAAATGTCCATATAAAGAAATGAATTCAATGGTCTTTTTGTGGGAACATGTTGTTTTCGATATATTTATCGTGTGTGTGTGTGTGTGTGCGTTTATTTCTTCTTTCATTTCTAGTTTTTGGTGTTCATTTTTCATTCGAAACACACACACACACACACACACAGACACATGCAATCGGTTCGAATTGTCGATTTCGATTTGATGGTAAGTTTAAAAAGGAATAAAAGCTAGATAGGGACTTAATGGATCAAGGTTATCGATAGCAAAATGGGCTCTTGGTCCGAAATCAAAAATTCACTATCACTCTCATGCGCTCGGTCATGTAAACATACATCCAAAAGCGCAAAATTAATTGATGATCGTTTTTTTTTTGCGTACAATTTTCAACAACTTTCCATTAATATACGGTGCATATTTGTCGGATTCCGTTAAGTTCAAACAACATTCAAATTTTCATCTCTCTTCCAATTCTGCATTTCGTATTAACCATCGCATAAATGCCATCACACACGTGCGCGCGCACCACTTGAAAGAAATGAACGATGAAACGAAGAAATAAAATGCATCAGCAATGCCTGCATTCGGCAATCAGAAATCAGCAAAAACAAAACTCGTTTATTGATATTAAAAGTGATTTGCAATCGTTACGAAATTATGTGCATTTAATGATTGTCGAGTTGATTGAATAGCCTTAGTTTGCGTGCAATGGCAAATCAACGGCAACAACGATATCTAACCAATAACCTTTTGAGTATATATGCGAGTTGCGCGAATGTCAATAAATCCAGCGTGAATCATGGCGGCAGCAGCGAAGAGACAAAAATCAAGTGTAACCAGTAGTAACAAATAGCAAACAAACAAGAAGTATGGGCAACGAAAACAAATCAAGTTTATTGTCGTTGCCATTCGCTTGCATCATCAATGAAATTGACAGTGAAAATTCGAAATGTGTCTCTGGTGATGATGCGCACAACGCAAATATTCAATACGAAATGCATTGCGGTAGTGCAATGGATGCCGATCAATCGATTGGCAGGTAGGCGAATTGTCGTTATTCAAAAAGTAGAGAAGAAGAGAAAAAAAAAACACAAAATCCGCCGACAACGAGCCCCGTTTATTTAAAGATGTGTCGTTGTATCACGTACACTTTCCTAATTGGTAGTAATATTTAATCCGCTGAAAAATTTGTAATTTAAATGCTTGGGCCGTCTCCGAGCCGGTGGCAGCCAAAGAAATTACCGCTTTTTGACTTTTATTTACAATGATTGAATTGAGTGTGATGCGTTCAATCAATCAATGGCGATCGCATGTTGTTTACTCTATTTGTCGATTTAATGTCGCTTCGTTTATGATAATAATGCAAATCAGAAAGAAAGAAGTGGAAATAAACGGTTGCGTGCGATTTATAGACCATTTTTGAAATTGTTTCGCGTAAATCAATCGACAGGCTGACCAGTTTTTCTGCGACCATTTCTGTGCATTTGATCTGGTAAAATATGCGTCTATTACGGTGTTTAATAATTATCAATCTAATAATATTCGATAATTGCGGTGAGATGGTAAAGCCAGCCATAACTCGTCATATTCCTACGTTTGTTTTTTTTCTATTGCGGCCGACGAAGTTCATGACAAACGTTTTTCTTGGGCATTTCTCTCTCTCTCTCATCTCAACTTTGCTTTCATGAATTTTTATTCGAAATTGACTTTCGTTTTGGTTGGAACGATCAAGTCCATTTGAATTTATTCACTGTTATTAAATGGACGGGCACGTATGTGTGTACGGGTTGAAAGGCAGCAGCAATATATAGACAAGCATGACAAAGCGATTGACACCCGCGTGCACAGTTTTATCAGTTTGACCGATCGGCTGCTGCACAATCCAGTCATTCCGTGATTGATTCAACTTTCGCAATTCGATGAGCGCAAAACACAGAATGCGTTAACACCCGCCAAAAAAAAATGACAACAGCGACTAACAAACTACAAATTACACTCTCTATCAAAAGCATAATGATTGTTACCACGCGTCATAACGACATATTCATTGCACAATAAAAAAAAAAGTAATTGAATTATATGTTGCAGCAGAAGCAGCAGCAGCAGCAGTGGAAGCAGTGACATAAGAAGAACGAGCAAGAGAAAAATGCATAAGACACAAAGCGACGGGAAATGAAACAAAAGACAAACAATGAGATTGTAGAACGCTGATTCTCTCTCTTTCTTTTTATTTTTATTTTCAATGCATGACGTTCGATTAATCTAGCTCAAGTCATTCTTGTGACTGTGTTCAAACATTATTTGTTGGCGCGCAGGCATTTTGATACTTTTTTTCTCTGTCGAATTCGACTTTAGTTCTGTTTCTTTTTCAATTACTGGCCATGAATTGTCAATGTGCGTACGTTTTTGTGTCTCTTTTATTTGGTAAATTTGAAACGGCGGTGGCGTGGTGACGGCGACGGCAGTACAGAATGAAAAATTACTCAAAATCAATATTTTACCGTGGCTAATATTTGAAATTGATGTCGTTCAATAGCAACAATTCACAAAAGAAAAAACAAAAAATTCAAAACCTCTACTTGACAGAGTTCCATTCTAGCAAATAACCTTACAGATTAATCAATTTTAAAAGAATGTTAATTTGTTGGTTCCGACCGAATTTTCAGTTAACAAAATACGGTTTCTCAATGACTTCTCCTCAGTTCATTGATTAAAATGAATTCAATTACCCAAACAAATTGAGCTCGTTTCGAGTCGAGTCCACAAACACCTTGGCAACACACACTTTAGATTCAATCTCTAACGGCTGTTTCTTTTTTTCGTTCACTATGACGACGAAAATGTCTTTCACTTTCTTCAATTTTATTGAGAGGAAGCAAAGCACCAACAAAAGAGATCAAAAAACTAAATCGATTGAATTTATCTCAACATAAACATCTTGAATGTGGTGTCATGGCATGACATGTCATGCCTTCGACGTTATTATTGAAATAAAATTAAACTGTCTAATAAGTAAACAAGATGAAGAAAAAAGAAACAACAATCGATTAAAAATTTGCGCAACACATCCAGGTCATGTTTTGAAGAGAGAAAAAAAACACACAAATTTGAAGTAGATATATACAAATAAAAGTCGACAGCAAACAATGCAGGCGCATGTGTAATGATCCGACTGAGATGTAAACGATCATTTCCATTGTAGTCGACATTTAACGCCTTTTCTGTGGCATGTTTTTTCAGTTTGGACGCTCTTCGACATCGAGCCAGGCGGGCCAGCGAGCAAAGCGAATGAGAGAGTAAGCGAGTGAACTATCTCGAGATGTGTGTAGCACGGGAGTGTGATGCCGTCGGGTTCATGTGTGTTTGTTCGTATGACCGTTTGCACTAAATAC